ACATTGTTTTACGCAACTCTACATTTAAACCAGTCAACACGGGCGATTAAATGTCCGATTTAATGAGGAAAATAGCGGATACATTTAATTTTTTACTATAATTGAAATTGTTGCTTAATCTATATCTAAAGGATGAAAATGAAAGTTGAATGAGCGCATTAATTATATGGGACCCATTTATGTCACTTTAAGGTAAAAATAGGGATGGAGACAGAAATATGCCCTTGATTGTTATTTAATACAAGATATATGTAGCAAATGTTCGCAATACCTTTATCTCTTGATGATCTTTTGTATGTTATCTACCGTAAAAACTGTAGCATTGTGTGTTCTCTACCTTCTTTAGCATACGGTCTTCATAACAAATATTAATTTAAAAAAAGGAAATACATTTCAATACTCAAATGAGAAAAACTTAAAGACCGTGTTACAGAAACGCCGCGCGTCCAAAGAAGTAGTTGTTTTCCTGAGGTAAATGGTCGCTCGACTTTTCCGTCTGTCCCCTGCTGTCCAGGTATTCAGATACTATGTTTGAACCGGTGTTCCCAACTAAATGTTTCTGGGGTGCTCTTTTAAGTTCTAGACTTAAAAAGGTATGTCGCCGCCTAGCTAGTGCTTTGCATTCAAAGACAATGTGGCAAGAGCTTTCTTACTTTTCCATACAGAGTCTACACGTGTTGGGATCATTGTGTTATCCCATCACACAAATGTGTTTCAGCAAGCAGTGATCCGTTAGTAATTTCACAATGTAGACCAGCCATACTCAACCTGCGGCCCTCCAAGCTTTATTGTGCAGCCCCAAACACGATTATTAGTAATTAAAATGGTTGATCTGTAGTCCTGTCCTTGCGACTTTTCAATGCTTATTAAAACAACTTTTTTTTTTTTTTTTTTTAGAAAATATTTAAAGCGGTTCCCTATCGTCACCCATATTGTCCTTTATTTGCATTTCAAAAAGGTGGCAACTCCAGTCTACTGTTATCTGAGCTCGTCAAAGGAAGTTTATCGAATTTTGCAACGCTGTAGTAGTACCGTTCTGCGACACCAGGTTATTAACCTATTCATTATCATATTTCATTTAATTTACGTTCGAGGCAGCCAGGTAGTATAGTTAAAAACCGTCAAGAAGGATTTCTCGCTCCATGGTAGAGCCCTCCGGGGCAAGCAATCACAATCTCACCCAATATCCCACAGTTTAATTCAAACCGCCAACGAAACCGACGGAAACACACGGAGACACTTAGAAATATCTCAATTATACAAACTCCAGAGCATCTAAAGGCCAAAACTAAAAGACAAACCAACCTAACCGTGAGTAAAGCCACTTTATTGGGTCTAACCATCATTAACACTAACTCAGGGGTCAGCTGCCCAGCACAGGGGAACCCCCGTTTAAAAATTTCCGAAACGACCTCTAAATAACCCTCAAACACTTCTAGAGGAAGTTTACGGGGATCTAAACGAATCCTCCAGCTCAGAGGAAGGCATGGACACCACCATCAAAAACGCCGATAAAACCACGTCTAACGAAGCCAACTCACCCGATAATAACCACCCTCGCAGGACTTCAGGACTGACCCCAATAATACTCATGCCGAGACCGGTTCTAAATCACTTAGGGATCCTGCAAATCGGCCAGGAAATCAGATAAATCTTAAAGAAAGTATGGAGAATCTAGAACAATGTAAAGAGAATATGAGAAAAAGTACGGAGAATCTTCCAAAAATGCTTGAAAACTCTGATAAGTCTACATGGATGCAGACGATAACACCCACACTAACACTAACGACAGTGTAACTAAGCCCCGCTGAGGGGGCGTATCCTCCGGATCCCATGGGAAACCCTATCCGAACGGCCAGAAACAGCACCCCATCCGGACCAAGTGACACTATTCCCAGCTTTCATTCCGCCTATATGGCCGAATCAACCCACCCCACCAAAGTCACCATAAAAAGGGTCGAAGTGCCTGCAGGAACAAGGGCTGGACTGGATTTTGGCCCTGGCACCGATTTGCACACGGCCCGAATCAGCCGTGGTTCCAGTGTGGACTGCACAATAACATAACAATGTGAAACAGAAAATGGTTATTAAAAATACTCCCGAGTGAGATGAACAATAAAAATGGCTGCGCTTATAGAGTCGGACCTAGTTCTATTAATAAAGCATGCCATTAGCATTCTACCGCACTCCAGTTCATTGGATTCAAACCTTAAACTAGGTAAAAAAGAGAGGAAGCGTAACAAGTATATCGAGCATACGTAGTATTCTGTGCCGATTATCTATTGACCGCCATTATTTTGGTGCTAAGCATTTCGGTGACACCAAAGTTTTTGTTAGTGTTTATTCCTGATTTTTTAATTAAACGACATTTAATAATTGGTTTATTGTGTGACATATCAGTGTAAAAGTTATAGCGGCAAGAAAGAAGCAGATATTACGTTTCACAGGTAAATGATAAACATCAATCGTTTTTACTTTATATATTTTCTTATATTTTTCATTTTATTTGGTGTTATACAACTTGGTATTTACATATTGTACATGTCTCACTCCAGAGTAATACATTTTACCCACCAAGTTTGTTTATTTTATGCTTTTCATTAATATTTAAGCAATTATTGATATTAAAAAGGCCAAACATGTAATTTTTTCCAGTGGCGTGTCGTACAATTCTAAATATTAACTTTTATTAAATCCTAATTTACTTTTGCTTCTTATTTAATTGTAGCAATGTTTATTTGTTGTTTTATTTTAGATTTCCTGTGGATAGGTAATGTCGGTAATGTGTACGTTCAATTCTTTTAGCTATATTTGAAAATGGCGCCACGACACCGTTCTTGGCGCTGCCTGCAGCGCATGTATGATCGTCATTCTTCATTATCATTGGCTGATTGCATATTATCGCGCGCGCGTATCGAGTCGTGTTCTTCCTTTGGCTGTCTTCATCTCGGGACAGCCATTGTATAGTATTTTTAGCGTCAGTCTGTGGACATTGTCATTACTTTTTCGTGGTTGTGTGTTTTTATATATTATCTTTTTTATATTATTTATTTGCCATTATTGGAACTGTGGTATACCGGAACTAGTAAACTTTATCATTAAAATTTTCAGCGGCGTTATGAGTCCTCTCTTTATTACCTAGTCTAAGATCCAAGCTAAGCGGTACGTCCTCTGGAGAAAATTTGTAAAAGGTGTCCGTAACAGTGGCGGCTCGTGGCCAAAAAATTGGGGGTTCACAATGAAAGAATATAGGTTTAAGTACAGATTTAAGTAAAAAGCTTTCAGTGTTTTGGAAAGGTGTGTATTATGAAAACTAAAAGTTTTTTACCTAAATCTGTACTGTGATCTATATTCTGTCATTATGAACCCCCAATTTTTTGCTGACGAGCCGCCACTGGTCTGTAAGTAGGTTTTTTCCAGTGTTGCCAACACTAGCAAAGTTTCGCAGATTTGTTACACCTTCTAGCAGTGGGAAGGTCTTTTTTTAAGTAGCTAAATTTGTGTCTACCAATGTGTAACCTTAGAGTGAGATTACAGAACGTTTGCAACTTTGCAGATGTGCAACTTTGCAAATCTGCAAATATGGCGGACTTACAAATGCAAGTATTCCAAAAAATATCTGCAAATTCGCAATATTTATTGTGGTTTATTACCCCCAACAACACTAAACCCAAATTTGGAATACGAAAACTTGATACTTGCATGTCAGTCATATTTGCAGATTTTCAAAGTTGCCGCCATATTTGCAGATCTGCAAAGTTGCAGACGTTCTGTAATCTCACCCTTACTCAGTTGCTGCGTTTGAGAATCCACATCGGATGCATCTGAGATGTAAAAAATCTTTGATCACGTGATTCAGTATACGTAAATGTAATGGGACAGATGTGTCCGATGTGGATAAAAAAACGCTCGAGATGTAAAAAATGCATCCGATGTGGATTCTCAAACGCAGCATATATTTAGTTAAAGATTTACTTAAAATCGATTTAATTATATTAATTTTATCAGTTGGCAACATTGTCGTCACGTTCGCTGTTCAGTTTAAATTCCTATCAATAAAATAAATTTGAATTTTTTCTTATTTGTGAGCATTAAAATTGTTTATTCTTGTAGTGTGTTTATATTAAAAATTAAATTTGTTAAAAGCTCCCAAAAAAAAATACAATCTATAGTGTATTAAAACTTACATGTCAAAATCAAAACTGAAGTTATTATTTTTCAAACGTAAATTTTTTAAAAATTGTTTCTTGGTATAGCGAATATCTAAAACTTCACATTATTGAGATTTTCTTACAATTTATATTCAATTAAACTGCCACTCTGCATTGTGACAGTTTTATTTCGGTTTACACGTTTAAAAAGTGCCACGATGTTCACTTCAGAATCTAATAGAGATACTCAGATTTTTAATTAAGTTTATAAATAATAAACAGTATGTATACATACCTGAAATTTCCTATAAACCACATAATTAAAGATGTCCTGCGTTTAGTAAACGAATATTTCTAGATGTTTGTGTAGTAGCATAGATGATTTCCAACAAATTAGTCTTAAACCGTATTCGATCATTCTTAAACGCATGATACATATTATTATTGACGAATGCACAGAAACTAAATTTATATAAACACTAAATGAAACTCAAAAACAATATTATGGTAATAATATCTTAAAACAGTTAAAAAGAAAATCAAAAATACGAAAGCCCGCCACAACACTAAAAATATTTGACCTACTTATAGGTGACAAATGACAGGCGCGCGAAAATTAATTTGAATTGTGAATAATGAAATATCCCCAAGTTTTTAACTAAATTTTATGAGGAGCAGATAAAATATTTCGGATGTTTGAAAACGATATTTTTACATTATAAATGTATTGTATTCTTTGTTATAAAAATCCATACATGATCAAGATCAATATTTATTTCATAATAAAGATTTGAACGTACTTTTTTTTTGACATTGACATTTTGATTAACATGTCAAAATAATTTGTTTTTACATTTCATTTCAGATTAATTTTTTCATTGTCAACAAATACGTAGATAAGTATTTAATTTTGTTATAAAATGCCCAAAGTACGAAGAAGCAAAAAACCTCCCCCGGAAGGATGGGAACTTATTGAACCAACTTTAGACGAGCTTGAGCAAAAAATGAGAGAAGGTAAGTTTTAAATAAATTTTAACTATATCTTTAAACATTGAAGTAATCCACTCAATTTTAAAAAGTTTTAATATGTCGCTAGCTCAGTTCAAAAAGGAAACATCTTAAAATAACAGTTGGTACATTAAGTTTATTTCTGTTGTGAAGGAAGATTTGAAGAGAATTTAAGTTCTGAAAGGAGATATCCATGTTTAATATTATGACAAGACACTTCTAAGTTGTTTCTCTTTTGAACTGGATATTATGCGATATTTTAAACAATTTTGTAGAAATACTCAAATTTTGACAAATATTTCCTTTTTGAACTGTTTAATAAACCTCAGTTTATTCTCATAATTTTTATTAACATTGTTTTAACACTAGTTTTAAACTTATGTTTCAATTTATCAATCGAATGAGTTTGGGCCTTAATGACTTAATATGAATTTCAATATCTGCCTTCTTTGGATTTAATTCATTACTATTGCAATATTAGCCAAAGGAGTAAATGTTTTCCAAAGGGAAATTATTTTCCTTTTTTAATATTATACAATTTAGCAGCAAAATTATTATTACCATATTTTTTTTTAGCTGAAACAGAATCTCATGAAGGTAAAAGAAAAAATGAATCGTTGTGGCCCATCTTTAAAATTCACCACCAAAAATCAAGATATATTTTTGATCTGTTTTATAGAAGAAAAGCAATTAGTCGTGAACTCTATGAATATTGTTTAGTGGAAAATATTGCTGACAAAAATTTGATAGCCAAGTGGAAGAAGCAAGGCTATGAAAGCCTTTGTTGCTTAAGGTGTATTCAAACAAGAGATACTAATTTTGGAACAAATTGCATTTGTCGTGTACCTAAAGCAAAATTGGAAGAAGGCAGAATTGTAGAATGTGTACACTGTGGTTGTAGAGGTTGTTCTGGTTAGATATATAAGAATTGTGTTCAATAAATAAAGCATGTACTTTATATTATACAAATTAGGTACTTGGAAAATAATTTAGTAGATAAATACTACTTTTAAATAAAATATTGGATATTAATTTATAGTTTTGGTAGGTAATTAATTTGTTATTTTGATAGGAAAGTAAATAAAACACAATTTCATGTAAAAATATACTTTACTTATTAATAAAAAAATAGAAGTAATTTTTTTTTTTCATCTTTCTTTTCAGGAATATGATTATTACATAAATTAAAAAATTTATGTGTATGGCAAGATAACTAACATTTTAATGTAAGTTAAATATGAAACAAATCAGCCTGCCCAGTCTAATGGTAAATGAGAATGGAAATAACTAAAAATTTAAATTCTTATGGATGGATTGATTTATTTAAATTTTATACTAGCTACTATAAGGTTTACAGTGATTTCATAATGTTTGTTTTTCAGAGAGGTTTGTTCTCTATCTCCATTAATAAGGCCCAAAATAAAAAACAATCTATCTCATTTACTGTGAGAATTAAATTGGTACTGTGGCAGGCGAATTTAGAAACATCCCACCTAATATTTTAGTCATTCTCAAAAATTCAAAATTTGTTATCAACTCTATTCATGCAGATTAATAGAAACATGAACATTTTGAAGATTTATTTTTTATTATAAAACAATAGCAAAGGATTTTGAATATTTCGTTTCTATATTAAATAACTATCTTCATAATTTTCTCTTAAAGTAAATATATTGTCTAAGCACTCCTCATAGTCATCCCTGTCTATATCACCGCCTGCAAACTGATGAAACCTATTTATTTTAATCTTTCTAGCTTCTGTATGAAGAGATTCCAACATTTCACCAATTTCTGAACCACTATGTAAACCTGCCAGAAGAGGTATACTATCAATCCCTAAAAAAAGAAAACGAAATTTCATAAATCACTAATATTTTATATTCCTTTTTATAGATTTAATATTATTTTAACATTTGTATTCCTTGGATACATAGATTGGGAAACTGGATAATATTGTAATATTTTATTCTTCTGTAAATAGATTTAAGCACAACATTCAAAATACACAATTTCCCATAAATAAATTAATAAATCATAAGCCCTACTAGTTTAAAACAAAACAGTTTGAATTATTTTTTGTTTAGTCATGAAAATAAACGCACTGTTTTGAAATAAAGAATTAAACTAATTTGCTTCTTTTATCAAATATCTTGAAAACAGGACCTGAGATTTTGGATTTCAAAGCACCTGAAGGGGCTTTGAAATATTAACAGCCGTATGCATAGTCGATCGCCAGCGACTCGCCAGAGATTCGCTGGCGAAAGCCCAAAAATGTGGCGTCTCGCCGGAGATTGTCACCGGAATGTCATTTTACGCAAGTTTTTATTTTCTTTTATAGGGGTTATCACCGGTATCTCTCGCATTTTATTCATGATTCATTTCTTAAAACTCAAAAAATAATGAACGAATATCAAATTTTTCCCTATAAAAGAACATGAAAACTTACGTGAAATGACATTCCGGTGACAATCTCCGGCGGATCGCCAGCGAATCGCTGGCGAGTCGCTGGCGATTGACTATGCATACGGCTGACAACTTTTTCCTATTAAAAATTGCCATAATTTATACTCACTAGTTTCACTCAATCGATTGTGATCTGAAATGAATCCATTTTTTCCTATATTCTTCGCAAATATTTGTGGAAATGGGCTTTTAACATTTAGAGCTTCTTGAACAACTGTTACATTATTTGCTGTCGCATCCGTTGTGTAAGCTAAATATAATGCCATCATTTCTTGAATACTATTTGCCCTATAAGCTGGTAATTCTCTTTGTTTTTGTGCCTTATCTAATGGTTTTTTTAGTTGTCCTTCCTTAATGCCTCTAATTGTGATGTGCTGCATTAATCTTCTAGAACCTAATGAAGAGGAAAATTAAAAAGATTAAGAGAGCAGGTTAAAACTACCCATTCACAAAAATTTATTTTAAGAAATTTTTAGCATACAGGTAAATAGTATTATAAGGGATATCAAATAAAAATTAACTAATTGGTGTTACTTCTAAATTGGTAGCAAATAGTACCCATTTTTAATTAATAAAAGTACTTCTGATCTTTGCTCAGTGATCTTTATCTATTATAACATTTAAAAGTTGATGAAACCTTGAAATTCAATAACCATGAAAAATGTTATTCTACTTTATCGTTAGATACAAGTAGGAGTGTGACAGAACCAATATCAAGAAAACAGTTACTTCTTGTAAAAAAAATAAAGAATATTTTTGGTGGTTTTCAATTTACCTATATCACAATTAGGTGTAATACTATGGTAAAGAGGTTCTTGATAATTATCCAAACATTCGAGAAGATCACTATTTTCTTTCATTGGGAATGGCATATTAATACTCGCTGCTACTGCTTTTCTTCCAGAGCGAGTTAAATCTGCTCCAAGATCACTTAATGTGAATGCAGAGGATTTCAGTCGATGTTTTAAAGTAAATGTATCTAAAGCTGCTGCTAATATTGCACTAGAGTGGTAAGCCATTTTATTCTAAAAAAGTATATTTTAATTAAATAAAAAGAACAGATTTATACATCAAAATATAAAATACTAACATCATATTCTAAGTTTTTGAATACCCTCTTTGGTCCTGGTTGCCTCCATCCTTTACACCCAACACTTAATGGCACAAAAAGGGATGAATTAGTATTAAATTGATTAAAACCCAATGCCAAGTTTATCACCCTTACTGAATCATTGATAAGAGATTGTGATTTTTCATTATCATTACTAATTAGATTGTCAGAGAAGTAAGATGGTATGACTGGCAGTACTAAAACTGATTTTCTATCATATTCATCTCTAATGAATTCCAAACAAGATGAAGATAGTCCAGAAAAAGCATTAGTACAATCTGTGAGAAAATGGAAACCCTAAAAATAAATATTAAATCATGTTAACATTTTATTAATCAAATTATGCTCCAAATTTTAAGTGTAAACACTCAAATTTTGACTCTTTTCCCTACACAATTTACATAATATGAAAAAAAAATCAAAATTTATACTTAGAGAATGGCATAAAACTTGGGGATAAAGGTGGTCTTTATTCTTACAAAATCGAATAAACTGGTTTTTAGATAGGTGTCTCTCAGGTCAATAAAACTTCATGTCAAATTTAGTACTTAAAATAATATTAATAACCAATACATATTTTTAAACTTTTAACACAACATATCACAAAAATGGGGGGTATTAAGACATGTTTATTAAGCAAACTACACCAAGGGTGGCTCTAGAAGAAATTTATAATCTTATGGGACCATGGCCCCCTCCCTGGAACCCCCTTGCACCACTTATTTTTCAGTGTTCTACCATGTATGTCATGTTTTTGTAAACACCTTGTATTTTAATATTATATTCACCTGAAAATGGTCACATTCTTCAATATAACTTCTAATTTTATCACTGAAATCATCAATAAATTGTGAAGTCTTCCAAAGAGCAGAACCTAGAGGAAATGCATCAAATGGAGTATTTTCATTGCAATATTGATATTCTTTTATAGTCTCGATGGTTCTTGGATGAAACCTACTATAAAGAAAATCAGACCATACTTTAGTTGTTTTTTCAAAATCGTAGCTCTGTTCAAGCACACATTTGTTAGGATCGTTCAAATCTTGTTGGAATTGATTTTTTGAGTGACTTGGCCCAACTTGTTGAACTTGTACCTGATTGTTGTGCCAGTTAATTTGTGCTTTAGAAGGATCGATTTTTGGTTCGTATAAATCACATTCCTCCGATAATGAACCTAAACTACCTTTTAAATCAACTAATAGAAGTCTAGGTGTAAACGTTACTTCTCCCTGAAAGAATACATGTAATAGACAGCGGCAGATTCAAATATGTCAACAGATATCATTGTAATAAAATAATTTCTGAGATATTAAATTGGGTTTGTGCATTTTTAAGAAATAATATATTATGAAAGTAAAGTACGAACTTACTTTGTTAGTACGACCTTCTCGATACAAAACGTCATGGTTAATTTCAGATGGAATAGATGAATTATATTGAAAACTTAAATCTTGCAAATTCCACCAATGAGTTCCAACAAAATTGGAATAATGACCAAATTGTAACGTAAGTATTTCTTTAGTGCTCATTGTGGAATGTTTTGTTAATTTATGGCATGTGGTAAGGATCAAGAATTCAATTTATTTATCAACTCAATTGTAAAGTAAACAGTAAACAAAAACAAAACCAGTTTTAAATGTTAGGTTAGGATGTAGACTCAGTGTTCAGTGTTGCCAATAGCTTAACTCGTTCTCAAAAATCGACATAAAAATTCATGAGAATTTTCCATCTTTTATAAAAACAAGTTCACCATTTTTTTTATGAAAAATTGGATTCGTATGGAAACAAACCACAAAAAGATGATAGAATCCATTTTAAAATTGTTTTTATTTAGATTTCACCTAAATTTCTCCAGGTTTGAGACTTGTCAGACAGAACGCCTACCGCAATCTGGCCCAAAAATTCTTATAAGCAAACCATAGATAAATTAATAAATATTCTTGATTCAACAAAAGTATAAATACATAAACAACAATAAAAAACAATAAAAAACATTTAAAAACAAATGTCCGATTTTGAGATTATATCTAAATTTCTCAAAAATATATTGGATGGAAGATGGCCATAATTCGAGAAATGCAATACTGGTACCATCTATCAACGGATAGTCACACTATCGAGTTGCACCTATTACTTGTAGAGCAGAGCTGGGCAAGTAGGTACTCGAATACTTTTACTCGTATTTCGATTACGAGTAGAATAATTACTCGTAATTTTTACTTATAAGTATTTTTTATTTGAGGTACTTAATACTCGTACTTACAAGTAAATTTAAATCTACTCGTAGAATGTACTTGTAAAATACGAGTATTATTTTACGAGTAGTCGGCATTTTTTGATCGTCGCATGTTAACCGCCAGTCGCTACTATAGATCGCCAGTATCACGGAATCACGACACGAAACGGCCTCGGTTGCGTTCGGGCTGCAGTCTCTGATTTGGGTTGGGAATATTGGAAAAAACAATTCGTTGGGCGTTTTACGTTTTATTATTTTTGGTGTTTTGTGGTGGTGTGAATGTGTTTCCTACGAGAACGGTTAAATATTAAACGTCTATAGTCTCCATACACAATCTTTGTTAATTTGAATAAGGATAATTTCCTGATCGTAGCAGAATTTTATATAAATAAAAAGTTTTGTTTCCATCTTCGGGTGCAGTCAAAAATTAATTTAAAAAAAAACACATGGGGACGATTACAAACAGTTTAAATATTTTTAAAAATAACAGAAACCCCATCTTTCTGTTTCAGCGTGTATTCGAAATAGTATTGATTTGGTTTAACACGATAACGATAAAGTAGGGAAACAAAAAGATGAGTTTTTACAAATTTAAAAATTACCAGTTTTAAAAAACTGTATTTAATTGTTCACTGTCAAGTTGACCATGTTTGTTTTATTTATATTCTAAACAAAATTTTTATTTATTTTAGATTTTTTTTTTGTTTTTGTTTAGGTAAATAAAGACTATTTTTATTTAAAAATTATAGTGGTTTTTCTTCGTGTTTTCTATAGTTTATTTATTAGGTTAATTTTGTGAAACTACTCGTACTCTTTACTCGTATTTTCACGATTACTACTCGTATCCGTAAACTATCTCTATAAAAGTACTTACGAATAAAATACTTATAAATACAATTTTTGAGTACTCGTACAATTTACGAGTATTTTATTCAGTACTCGTGCCCAGCTCTGTTGTAGAGGCCGAAAATTGATTTTAAATGAACGCACAGTTCTCTCACGCTCATGGAGGAACGATTATTACTCACGTTCAGGCCTCGCAACGAAATCGAGACAGGCGTAACAAAAAAGCTACAAAAAATGAGCCGGGTCCGAGCTGGTGCCGCTACAAATATCCGCTAAGCTAGCGGATCCGCGCTATTCTCAGGTTCAGTACAAGCTACAAAAGAGAGACTGGCGTAACAAAAAAGCTACAAAAAACCCACCAGGTCTTGTATGGTGCCGCCACAGAGTGCCCGCTAGTTTGATATAGCCCTCACGAGACAGTAAAATTCTCGAATATCTGAACCCGACCCCAGACTAAAATTAAACTGGTTGGTATCATTGAATCCGTCCGCGTGGTTTATGTCAAACGAGCGTACTTTTATCAAAACTAACCTAAAAAAAGGTCTTTTGAATTACATTCATTGAACGCACGTTTTTTTTTTGACGCCTTCCTAGATATTTTAACATTTCTTCGGTAAGTCCTCTATTATTTTAATTATACTCAACACAATATGTTCAGATTTAGATTCAATACTTTTGGTTAATTTAGAGGTAACCTTTTCGCGTTGGAACATTTTTATATGATAAAAGCACCCATTATAAAAATGCATAGAATAGAAGCCATGTTTTCACCAAAAGCAGAATTAATAAAAATGTTATGTTTCAATTTATCTATACATCTCTAATGGTAAATAAACTTTCAAATAATCATTTTTCATAATTAAAAGTAACGCCACGTTTTTTAATGTACATATTGTCAACGTAACCATTTAAAGATTCGTTTTTAATATTTGGTGGCTTTTCTAAGAATTCTCAATTATTCTGTATAGTATTAGCTAAAGGGTAATAGTAATTATCTATACAAAATGAACTTTATTAATCAATAATGGTTGAACAGCGAATAATGAATGCCTCAATGCCATTTCTTAAGATTGTGTCTGTCCTATTTTTTCCAGTTAGTCAGTTTTGTGGAAAATTAATCTATATTTTTTTTATTATATGCCTGCTAAAATAAGCTTTTCTTTCAGAAATGACTGACGTTGCACCGAAAACTCCTAATAAGAGAAAAAGTTTTGGAGGTAAGCAGCAGGGATCTCCTAAAAAAACAAAATTAGAAAATGGACAGGCAACTCAAATCGGTTCAGCAGCAAAGCAAAATAAACAGTCTCCTAAGCAACAGAAAAATCAACAGACTCCCAAAAAGTTAAAAGTTGAGCAACCACTAACACCTTTCCCACAGAAGAAACAACAAACTCCAAAAGGGATAAATCAAACCCCTAATCAGAAAAATATACAAACTCCTAAACAGAAAAATCCACAAACTCCCCAACAGACACCAAAACAGATTCCCAACAATCAGGCCGCTCCAAATAGTGCAAATAAATCAAACAAAAAAAATAAAAAGAACCAATCACCAAAAGTTGCTCCCTTTAAAGGCACTTCACAAATAGAAGGTTCTGCAAAGAAAGAGAAAATCACACAAATCGTAGGTTCTGTAAAGAAAGAGAAAAAAACCTCACAATTACAAGATTCTGTAAAGACAGAGAAAAAAAGCACAGAGGCTAAAGTGAAGAAACCAAGAAGAAATGCTTTTAGTAGTATTAAAGAAAAAATCCATGCTACTGATGACAATTCAAAGAAAGAAGCTGTTGCAATTATACAAGGTAAAATTAAAGACATAGAAAGTAGGGGAGAGCTTACTAAAACAGCAATTCGTAAGCTTAAACTTCTTAGAAAATTTGAGAGAGTAGCTCAAGGTATCCCTCCACCTCCACCACTAACTAAAAAGCCAAATGATAAAACTGAATCGACAAAAAGGAGGGAGAGAAGAAATAAAGCTAAAAATGATAAAGATGGTGCTCAAAAAGGAAATCAGAATAAAGTAGCTGTTGTGAAACAGCAAAAGAAAAAATTAGTGAAAGTAGAACCTGAATCAGAAGAGTCAGATGAAAGTGATGATGATGATGACGACAATGTTGATGTAGCTGGTATTAAACAAGAACCTGCTTCAGACAGTGAAGGTGAAGATGATTCTGGTGATGAATCTGGTGACGAGGAAGAACAGTCTGATGATGATGATGAGGAGGAGGATGATGATGAAGATGATTCAGAGGAAGGTTCTGATTAAATAAGATACATATTGTATGTTAAGTTACAATTATTGAAAGTGTTTTGTCTTATTTTATAGTTGACTTTATAATATTAAGAAGCTAAGTAAATTTTTATTATCTAATTTTGTTTTTTTTTTTTTTTTTTTAGAGTAATCATAGGTACTTAAAGAGACAGTATATTGTATGTAAATTTTGAGAAAGGGGTCTAATCAGTGTTGCCAGTCTAGTACAATTGTACTAGATCTAGTACATCATTTAAGAATCTGGTTCTCTAGTACACTAGATGCAAAATCTAGTACTTTTTTTTAGCCTTTTGGAGGGGTAAAAATATATTGTTAGATTCCTTGTTTGTGTTTGTTCTCGATAAAAGCTTTATTCAATTAGGCATTCCAAACAAATGAATTGCCAGTGGGAAGGTTTGGTATATCGAAGGGTGGCGACATACGGTGTATTCTATCTACTTGACGTAAAATCATGAATAATGGATAACATTTAAATATTTTATGTCAAACACAATAAAAATAATATTTAAAAAAACCACCTATACATTTCTTTATAAATTGGCAGGCTTGGCGACTACTACTTCGAATAAAAATAGCGTCCAAGTTGCAAGATTATGTCGCTACCCCCTTAGATATACAAGAATTTCCCACTGGCACCTATTGTTTGACAGGTCGTTGGGATGCCTAATTAACCAAACCAACCCAATTCGAGAAATAGGGTACAATTTAAAGAATTTGGTACATTTCTGAGACAAATCTGGTACATCACAAAAATATATTCTGGCAACACTGGGTCTAATTAAGAGCGTTAACCACTGTATCTCTAAATATTTTTAAGGAGAAATTTTTGTGAAAATGAATAAATTTATATCCTCAGCTGTCATTTCCCTCCCCTCCATTTATCCAATTAGGCATTCCAACGACCTGTCAAACAATAGGTGCCAGTGGGAAATTCTTGTATATCTAAGGGGGTAGCGACATAGTCTTGCAACTTGGACGCTATTTTTATTCAAAGTAGTAGTCGTCAAGCCTGCCAATTTATGAAGAAATGTATAGGTGGGTTTTTTAAATATTATTTTTATTGTGTTTTACATAAAATATTTAAATGTAATCCATTATTCATGACTTTACGTAAAATCATGAATAATGGATTACATTTAAATATTTTATGTCAAACACAATAAAAATAATATTTAAAAAACCACCTATACATTTCTTCATAAATTGGCAGGCTTGGCGACTACTACTTCGAATAAAAATAGCGTCCAATTTGCAAGATTATGTCGCTACCCCCTTAGATATACAAGAATTTCCCACTGGCACCTATTGTTTGACAGGTTGTTGGAATGCCTAATACAATTTAGGTATTTTCCTTTGCATCGAAAGTGTAGCACTGAGATACATCACTTCTGAAAATATCGTTCCATCCATACAATTTGTATAAATGGAACGATATTTTCAGAAGTGGTGTAGCTTAGTGCTACACTTTCGATGCAAAGGAAAAGACCTATTACATATAGCAGTGCCCAAGTATGACACATCATTGAAAAGGTAATTGTAAGGGGGATTCAGCAATGACAGAACAAAAGTAAAAGTTGGAAATGCTTTTGCCAGTTCTCCCACTTTATACACATAAATTGACAGGTTGGCAGCGGATCTCACCGAAGTGGACGCGATACATTGGCGTACAAAATTATTTTATAGATGTTAATAACAATTTCGAGTAAATAGTTTAATAAATTGTGAATAGCTGTTGAAATTTTGTAAAATTATGATTTGAATATTATAATACATGTTTAATAATTATTTATAATCCATAAATACATGCGATTGTCCGGTTCCGCCGATAACAAATTAAAATTACTTATTCTATGAAACTGGCAGGTAAACATTACTGCGAAATTCTCGGAGCCGCCCGACGTGGTTTGACGTTTGCCCCCTCTCTACCTACCAAAAGACTTTTCAACTTTTACTTTCACTATACGATACTTTCGATTTTAGTGCCCTCTAGCAAAATAAAAAAAATATTGTAAAATGGGCAATACCAATACTTAATTTTAAAGCATAAATTTGTTATTTTGCTTGTTTGGGATTAATTTGTATTAACTTTAGAGGTTTGCAAGGTTTTTAAATTAATTAAGTACATGTTTCATTAAATTAGCTTTTAAATGAAGTATCCCACATGCTTTGTGAAGTATCCCACTCAACACGTACATTTTTTTTATACCACCAGAGTGTGTTAAAATAAAAAGTAACACAATAAGTAGTCATATTTGCTGAATTTTGCATAAAATTACCTTCTCTATATGAATGTCATACTTTGGTACCTTCCCTATTTAAATTGTATTCGTTAGAGTAAAGGGGAATGATGGTTAAGGATATAATCAAAAACCGGCACTAACAGCAAAGAGCTCAGATTGGTACATATACGGGGTGTTACTTAATAAACAGGCCATAATTCCAAGGGCGGATTCCTACACCAAGTTCAAGTAGAAAAGTTTTTATAAACATGTATCCTAATAGTCTGGTTTTCAAGATACAGGGTGGCAAAGTTTAAAAAAATATGTTTTTGGTTTTTTATTAATATCACATACTTTTGCCGATTTTGTAGAACTTTTCTTCATTGTGATGACGCTAAGTTAACACCAACTAGAATATAAGTATGAGTTCCAATGGCGTCGCGGGGGGTTGTCATCAATAATATTGACAAAAAAATATATATATATATGTGGTATTGAGAACCTCCTCCTTTTTTGAAGTCGGTTAAAAATATAAGCTGAGGACCTTTTTTTTTAAAGTTTAGTAGAATGATGAGGACCTTTTGTATACCAGAGCCCCTGTCAACATCGTAGTCCTTTTTTCACTTTTGAAAAAGGTGACACCCCACCTAGTACCTACAATTTATTATTATCCACTGATATAATTATTACCTCAAATAAAAAAATATTTGCCAATATTTATCTGCTTGATGTAAGTTTTTTGTGTTATCAGGAATGCAGGGTGTTCCGTAATGATATATTCTAATATTACTAACGATGCTGCACATGTTGCAATTATGGGTAATGTTGAACTGGATCCTACTTCACGAATTCCACGTAGAGTCCAGAAAATTTAAAAAAATCATCGATTCCATCCCTATAAGATTCATCTCGTGCAAGAACTCAATGAAGATGATCCAGATCGCCGCATACAATTTGAAAGAATTTTAAACAATCATAATTTTTACTTTCCTATCTGTATCCACGATAACTCATGAACACCAAATTTATTCCGACATGCAGAGTCGGAACATCTGGAGGGTTATTTCTGTTTTTATGGAATCTGTTATTTACGTTTAGAGAAGAAAATGCTTCAAATAAAAGTTACTTCTAATATTTTTCTCTAGAATTGTTGTTCTATACAACATTTTCATAAAATGGACCGTATTCGAGAAAAAGTGTAATTTCGAATTTTAAAGAAAACTCAAAAACGGATAAAGAGAAAAACATTAAATTTTAAAACTAAGTGTTATTCCGACCTGAAGTGAATGAATGACTTGATTTTGGGCAGTGACAAAACATCTGAGAAGGTACTTTATAGGGGTAATTTTTATATTTTATGGAATATATCCGTTATTTACATTTGGAGAAGAAAATTTTTCAAATAAAAGTTACTTCTAATATTTTTCTCTATAATTTTCGTTCTATATAAAATTTTCCTAAAATGGTCCGTATTCGAGAAATTTGACAAAAAGTGAAAAATTCTAATTTTTAAGAAAATTGTTTAAATAAAAATTGTTTGCGATATCATTGTCTAGAATTTTAATTTTTCAGTATTTTCGTTGGCAATGAATATTTACATGGGTGATGCAATAAGTTGTACAAAATAACCGGAAAAAGCCTGTAATAACTAGACAGGAAAGTCATGTGTTGGATCAGATTTTTTCTACCTGTTAACTTGACGGGCGAATCTTACCTCAATTTGCTTGAAAACTTGATCTACATCCTCACAGTGTGGAGATTTTTAAATAAACATTTTCCCCAACACTGGATTGGTAAAAGGGGGTTTATTGATCGCCAGATCTATCACCATTTGACTTTTTATTGTGGGCTTATTTAAAAAGTGTTGTGTATAAGACCAAACCTACAACTTTAGAAGATCTTTACCACCGAATTGAGCAAGCATGTGGAGAAATAACCCCTGAAATGCTCCAAATGTTCGGGAACATGTTGAACAAAGACTTTATTACTGCATGGAAATAAATTGGTCGCAATGTACATTAAATTTGGGTAGGTAGCTTTGTTAATATTATGTAAAGTGTAATAAAAGTAAATTTTCTTAAATAAGTAAAACCAAATTTGGTAATTTTCACAAAACTTTTATTTAAAAAAAAAATAAAAAAACTACACATGACATGTTTCGAAGTACAACTTCTTTTTCGAATGTGACTAATTTACAATTTGAAAAAGAAGTTGTACTTCGAAATATGTCATGTGTAATGTTTTTAATTTTAATTTTTTTTTAAAATAAAAGTTTTGTGAAAATCTACCAAATTTGGTTTTACTTATTTAAGCTAATATGGATTTTCATCAAGTAAAGGCCGAAACAATAAATAATTTAAAAGTAGATTTTTTCAGTTTAGTTTCTGTTATTTACACCTTTTGGTTACAAAGTAATCTTTTAAATACTGTTTGACAATAAATTAACATTGTCATCTGGTGGCCAAGGGCTTGGGAAGCTGATCATTACGACCGAAATTTATTAGATAGTTCTTTTCTTGGGGAGGAGGGAGCACAGATCATTCTGGTGGTGCATACTCACCTTTGTTCCCTTCTACCTACGTCAAAACAAATTTAAATAATAAAATACAGATGCATCACTTGTCAAATTACATACATGAGTAGTAATTTTAAGAGTTTTAGGAAAATTCACTATATAAAAATATGGATAATAAAAAACTTCTCAATATGTGATTTATTTCATAAATACAAATTTGTACATTTTCAATGTGAATTGTACCTAATAAATCGATTTTTATTTCTTAAAATAGTGATTTTTGGGAGAATAAATTACACTCCATAACAATTAACACCTTCATAAAAAAAGTATTTCACTTTTCTAAGAAACAAAAAAATTATAAAATTGAATCATCTACCGAAAAATAGAAAACAACAAATCTGAAATACACTATTAACTCTATATAAGTAATCCTATATGTACAAAATGAATTTTATTTAAGAATAATTTCTTATGTTATTAAACATAATACGCAATACCAAGAAAGTATTGCAAATTACCAATATATTTTTGAAAAATGATAGAAGTCTTAAATTTTAAATGTAAAAAAAAAAGGTTTACTACACAATGATTTGATATATGTATTAAGACAGAAAACCGAAGTAAAATCATTACGCTTTAATTTGCAGTAATATTATTCTACTTGATAAAAGATGTCTAGTTAATAACCTAAAAACAGTTCTCGAGAAAATATATCATAGGCACGAAAATAAATAATCAAGTGTTTGAATAGGGAAGTCATCTATAACCATCTATAAATCTGCAAAAGGAATACATGTGCAAAAAATATTACAAACCAGATCTTTTAAAGACGTATGCAGAAATAGAATCAGGAACGTTGATTCAAGAGTGTCCAGTAGAACATTAACACTATGTAAAGAGTGGAATTAAAGAATGGATCCACACTGACTAGTAGCAAAATCACTAATTATAAAAACCCCAAGGAAGAGATGGATAATTTGGAAAAAGCCAATGATAGTGTGAGAATGTTTCACATGGGTAATAATATGATTCAATAGGAATAATGCTAACAAAATATGTATTTACTTCAAAAGCCCATAACTAATTTTAATATATTTGAAAAAAACCTACATTAATCATATAAAAAATTAAATCAAAATTCGTTTCACAATTATACCAAACATAAGTAATCTATTATTTACACTAAAAATTTTAGTCTTATATATTTTTTCTAATACACTGATTAGTCTAGCAATACTTTCATGATCACTCTGTTTAAAAAAATGCCTAGTGTCTTAGTTCCTTGTAACAGGCTCTACAAAAATTCAATAGTACTATTATACACACATTACTAAATTCATCACATGCCACCCCTTTGGAAATTTCCTCTGTAATTGCCCCTTGGGAAGAATCCTCTATTGCCACCTCTATTTCCTCTATTGCCTCGGAAATTACCTCTGAAATTACCTCCTCGGCCTCTTCCTGCAAAAAACAAAAACATATTCAGTAACTACCTTTTATTAATATACTCGTCACAAAAAGTATTAGACCATCAGATAATGACAGATTTTCATAAAGTTTGCATGTACTTAAAGGGTTTAAATAAGGCTGCAATCCTGTAAAAGAATGCTCGGTTGCTGATGCATTTTCTCGCTTATGGCAATCGACAGAATGAAATTTGAATCGTTAGAAACCCGAAAAATTTTTTTTCCTGATAATATAAAATAAACTATCAAAATAAGGTTTGTAACGGTTGGAACCGTTATTTCGGACACAATCACCTCTTACTCAAATGTCATTTGTCGTCTATGCTTTGTGTCAGAGGAAGTGGCATTTTTATTTCATTTGACAGACAACGACGAATAGGTCACTTCTATTTCAATTTTATTTTCGGTCATCTATAATAATATTTTGTTCAATGATTTCTCGAGCAAATTTTCAAATTTTATACATAACCTCTACATCTGCAATGAATGACACATGTTAGCTTCTATATAAAATTAGATATTATTTTTTGGAATAAGATAGTATGCTACTATATTTAAATATATTAAATAAGATTTTTCCTTTTCATATTAATTTTAGTATCTGTGAAATTATTCATTTAATAGCAATTTATCTAAATCCTTTTCAAATTTCCCTTCATCATAACATTTTAACCCTTTTTAGCCCATGGCAATCTCTAGACAGTTTGGGTTCGAATACAATAAGAATCATTTATCTTGAAGATCGTTTGGGTTCGAATACAAATAGAATCATTTATATTAAAGATCATTCACTTGGTTGAAGTTGCCTGACCGATATATAATGTTTAAGGATTGATGTACCTCTGCAGTTTGGGACGATGGAAGAAATACCTGATTTTTACCTTTAACTTACCAAAATCGTATATTACCTTATTTATCACATAGAAAAGTACAATTGATTTAATCAATAAATTGTTTTAAATTTGAATTATGTTCAAACTTATGTGAATTAGAATTTGATACCTATCTTATCTAAAGCATTTTTTAAGTATAATTTGTTAGTGGCTAGTGATTTTCTATATTTTTATCATCAATGTAGAGTTAAGTGTATAAGCTTTAAATTTAGTGGTGCCCAACTTCTTTTTCAAAGTTATTAGAGTTATTTAAAAACCTAACCTACGCCCTATAAATTGAGCTCTAACACATATATCAAAATAGATAAATTAACCCGCTATTAATGTTACAAAAAAAAACTTACCTCGCTTGACGAAGTTTCCTCGATTATTACCCCTACCGCGAAACCCGCCAAAGTCTAGTGGAGGCATGGGCGGAGGTGGTCCCATCCAGTTATCCTGCGGATGGTCCATTTCAGAATAGTTATCATCCATCCACTGGCGATCTTCGTTTAAACTTTCATTATTTACAAGATCTTGATCATCTTCATTCAACCAAGGATTATGCGATGGTCCCAGCGACATACCCGGCATCATTGGTGGAGGCTGAAGAGGTGCATGCTGAAGAGGCGGATGCTGAAGATGCGGATGCTGAAGATGCGGATGCTGAAGAGGCGGATGCTGAAGAGGAGGATGCTGAAGAGGCTGATGCTGTAGAGGTTGATGCTGTAGAGGTGGATGTTGAAGAGGTGGATGCTGTAGAGGTGGATGTTGAAGAGGTGGATGCTGAAGTGGAGGAGGTGGCGGCACTGATGTGTTCATGTGTGGCATTAAAGGTGGACCAACCAAACTGTTGAAGTTCATCATAGGAGGCGGCGGCAGAAGTAGCGGAGTGTTATCTGAAAATTATATAATGATTTGATATGCCCTCACAAAACCAGATAGAGGTATATTTTCATACACAAGGATGGATTAATAATAATAATAATAAACGGGAATTATCTCTTATTCCAGTTACAAATTAAATATTGTTTTTTTTTTTATTTATTTATTTAAATCTTTTTATTATTTTATTTTATTATTTATGTGTACAAGAAAAAAGTAATTTTTGTTTGAAATTATATTCAGGGTATATATTCTTGAATCTCAGGGAGTAAAAATGTTGGAAAGAAGAATGAGGTAAAAATACACATTTTGTATGTCTCAGATAAAGAGAAAAAATGTGTTTTCTATTTCCTCGAATTCAAGAATAGCTACCCAGTTGTGTTAGAAGGTAGAGTAAGGAACAGGACGAAGAGAGGGCTATCCGCTCCATACCATGTGTATAGTGACAAATTCTATTGTCTATGAATTTGATATATTTACTTGCAATTTGTCAGATATAAAATCCCACTTTTTATCTTAGTTAATTTGTTACCTATTACGAAATACAAGTTCTTTTTATGTGCTTAACATTCATATAAAAAATCTATTATTTATTAATAATTATATTCTGTCAATTCCTGCTCTGTAATTGGGTTTATTGCCTGTAGAGTATTGTATTATAAATAAAAAAACATTATACTTCAATAACGGTGAAAAAGGGTTTTCTTGATATTCCTCTTGATCCGACTCAAACTCGCATTTCGCGTCCGTTCGGCGTTCTTCGTCACTTTTGTAAAATGTAAGTGCTTAGAACTTTTGTTTTTACAATTTCTATATTGAGGGAAGTTCTGGGTATAATACTTTACCGATTTTTTTGAGTTAAATGCTTTTAGTTTTTCAAATAAATACTTTTATGTATATATTTTCTAAACATCCCCTTTTTGGAAACTAGGAGGAGACATTTAGACCAAAACATTACTTTTCAAAATTATCAATGGCAAATGCAGCTGTACTGAACTTCTAACAAAAATAAATTTTTATGTTCCAACCCACTCAACTCGACAGCAACAAACATTTTATGTATCTTTTTATCGTTTAAACCATACTCTTAGCAGCTGTATTCCAAGAATGTCAAGATTGGCCAACACTCATAACGATCTTGAGATATTTAACACCCCCTTTCATAAATTTATAAAGCAATTAGTACTGAGCTTTAATATTTGATCATTAATTTTTAATGTTTCATGTAAATATTTTATTCAACCTTATTGTCTTTTGTCTTTTTAAATCTTTTAAATTCTTTACCTATTTTAGTTTATATGTAATGAATTATGCCATGTTTGCCCGTAAATAAATAAATATTATTAGCTTACCATCGTCTTTATCAAAATCATTTAATTCATTGCTGAGATCATCAAGGAAATTATTGGCATCAGCGTCTTCGGGAAGTTCTGGAAGAGGTGGCGGTGGTTCAAGCATGAATTGTGATTGATCTTCGTTTCTATTGCCATCAATGATTACCTATTGTTAATAATTCCAAATAAAATTAACACAAACAATTGCAACTAAAAATATTTTTTGCAAAATATAATTTTTAATTCATAGGACACATCAAATTAAATTTATTGAAGAATTATGAAGTGTAATAATATAAATCGACTCATGCAACGAAGACTATAGTAACTCATCATTTCTAGTTTTGAGAAAATCTAAGATTAATATAGTATTCGTAATATTTTATGGCCCAAAATGATTTACTATATTTTATGGTAGTATTTCTGGTTGCTTAACCTCTTCGTTTAAACATACGATACTTTTTTAGGTCAAAGCATTTGGCAAATATATGCGCTGGATAATGGTAACTCAAAAACTCCCAAAAATGAGTTACTATAGTCTTCCTTGCATGGGTCGAAATGTACATACTCTAAGATTGTCGTGTTTATGTTGCCTGTTCTCCTCATCGCTCATATCCATATCCATATGATCGGGAGAAGCAGGCGGTGCTGGATTATTAACACGTTCCCGCTCCTCCTGAAACTTCGGAGGAGGCGGTGGTGGAGGGGGAAGCTTAAGCTGATCGATGTTAAATCCGAGCCTATAGTCTTGATCCATCGTCGCAATAGGCGGCGTTGTTAAATTTGGAGGTGGAACATTTTGAGGAGGTATTCTGTAATCCTTTAAATAAAAGAAAATGCAAAGAATTGTTCAAAATTTTTGTTTCTTGAAGCGGAAAAACTTACTTGATCTGTCTGATTCCAAAGCGAGTCAGAAACAGAATTTTGGGAGTTAGAATGACCCGGAGATCCCGTCAAACTGATAAGATTTCGATGGTCAACATCCTTTGCTCCCATGCTGCTGCTCATAGAATCTTCTATAATATTGAATATAGTTATATAACAGATAAAGACAAGTTTACGACATTTTGCTAGATAACTTAGAATTATTAAACATGCTATAGAGGGTGTCTTCAAAAATAAAGTGCTCCTTAAAGAGATAGGTAGTTTTACTACAATTAATCCTTATACATTTTTTCCTATTAGTTCGTTTCTGGCGCATTAGTGATGACGTATACATTACAAACTAAGTTCAGTGGGTTTGTTTATGGATAGTTTAAGTGATGTTTAGGTCTTACATAAACAATAAATAAAATTAGAGGTTTTACAAAGGCCTCAATAAAGTCAACATTTAATTTTATCAATGAAAGTTATACAAATATGAATTAGACAGAACCGTATTGGGTACATTTTGGAATAAATAACTGCAAGTCTCTTGTATTTGATTTTTTTTTAATTGTTTATTTTAATGACTTTTATAGAGAATTAGGATTCACCCTATATATTTAAACTAATTTTACGACCTGTAAAAATTATAAAGTGCCTGTTTCTAGGTCAACTATAGATAAATTTAATTACCAAAAAAAGGGAATCCCTAGTCCCCAAAGTCTACAAAGAAATAATAAACAAAATATTAGTAATCAAGTAAACAGAAAATTGATTATGCTGAAAGAACGCAAATAGTAACTAAGGAAACTTATGAAAACTTAGAAAAAGGACAATTAGCTATTATGACTGAGGTAATAAATGGTACGGGCGATACAAATCCTGATGCAATAAATACACAACATTTTAAAAATCAAGAAATACCATTCGAAACAGTAAAATACAGAAAAAGAAGACATCCAAGATGCCACATTGGTGTAGCAGAAGTAAATGATGCAGAAGAACTAAACAGTTTTGTAGGAAGAGCTAAAGAAAAACGATTGTGGCTTTTTATTAGCAAGGTTAAAGATCACGTCACAGAAAATATGGTCATAACACATAAAATTGTGACAGAAAATATCAGTTATCTGTGAAGAAATTATCAACATACAAAAAAACTGCTAATAACAAACGTTTTAAGATCAGCATGCAATATGATCTTATGGACCAGGCGTACACTGGAAGTTTCTGGCCACGTGGGGTAGCAGTCTACCGTTATGACTTTAGAAAAGAAGAAAACAGATATAAGAACAACCAGGAAGCAAATCTATTAGATGAACATTTTCCGGATATCAATCAAATGTCAGTTACAACACAATTCAAACAAGAGAATATGACAACAAAAACACCAAGAGTGAAGAAATCAGAATTAATGAAGAACATCTGTCAAAAAATCATGATAACAAAAACTTCATACTAATGCATTTCAATATACAAGGTATACAGAAAAAAATTATTGAGCTAGACCAAATTTTAAAAAAGAATAAAGTAGATATATGTTGTTTTTCAGAACATTGGCTAACCGCTAATGAAATTGATATGTTAGAGCTTTGTAATTATTCTTTGATAACTAAGTATTGTAGGACACAAAAAATAAGGGGTGGAGTCTCTATTTATGCAAAATGTAGTATGTTAATAGAACCTGTATACTGCAATTTTACTATTGTTAGGGATTTAAGTGACAGTAACAAGCTTATCTTTAAAAATATAATTATTAAGGAGTCATGAGAATACATGTATAACTCATCTGAGTTCAATAACAAATTTAGCAGCTTTTATTCGACTTTTTTTGTACCATTTCAACAACGCTTTTACATTTAAAAAAGTTAATGATTTTTATAACACAGAACTAAGTGCACTGCATGAGGTATTGTGTGAATTACATAGCATATACATAACTAGTAATAATGATACTATTAGGGATAGATATAAAAAACTCAAAATAATTTATGATAATAAAAATTCAACAAAAGAATGTTGGGGAATTGTAAATGAAAATCAGTAAAATCAGTAAAAAAATGACCCACCGAGATATTAAATTGTCAAGGCAAATTTCTGGTGTACAAAATATAAGTAATGCTTTTAATAATCAGTTTACTGATGTAGACTATCTTCTACCAAATTATAGTGAAGCAAGTCTTCAAGATTTTTCTATAAGCACTCTATTTTAAATTCCAACTACCCCCAAGGAAATAACAGAAATTATACAGAAAACAACTGCCGGTATAGATGAAATAGATGGAACAATATTGTCTTTTACTGCTGAAGATATTAGTGTACCTGTGTCCTACCTTATAAAAGAGTCTTTTTTATGTGGTGACTATCCTAGCATATTAAAAAAATCAAAATCCATTCTTATATGTTTATACACTTTTTAAAATAATTGTAAATATGTATGTCTCAAAGTCAAATAAATATAATTTTATTATATGTGTGGTAGGTGTAATATAAATTTTGTATGTTCAAAAAACAAATGGAATACTTGGCGTCTGTTAAATAAAGAGTGCACAATCTGTAATATACTGACACCCAGGCCTTGAAAACATTTAGGACACATTTTTAATTTAACATGTGTACTATTTCTAGTAAACAAGTAAAATTTGATTTTCTATTTTTCAATTTAGATATTCTTCACTTGACTTATCTCCATCTGTGTGTTGCCAGCTGTTGTGATTTTTACTAATTAAAAAAATGTTTTTTCATACATGTATTAAAAAAAGTTTTACTGTAAATACCAATCAATGTCCATACGTTATAAGAAAGCACTATTTTCTAGGACACCCTGTTTATTAGTAAAAAAAGGTTAGGAGTCTTATTCAAAATAAACAAGTAAACAAACTCTTATAATACTGTTGAAAAAATATATTTGATAATTCAAAAAAATATTGCATTTCTTTAAACATTTCGAATAATACCCCCTTTTTTATGAACCCCTGAAAGAGGAATGGGAGGGTTAATAATTAATGCCGATTATGAGAAATTTTAAGATCTTTTAGTTTATTTTTTTATCAAAGTTGATTTACTAATAATCGCCACATAATTATAAATACAAATTTTTCTTAAACTTAAGATGATATATGTTTTTTTTTTTGAGGTAGTTAGCTCTCATAGGGACTTGAGGGGGAGGAAGTCAGTATTTTGTGATTTAAGTTCCCCCTTCGTATCCGAAAAACGTTTTAAAGCATTTAATATCATCTTTAGTTCATTAGATATAACGATTGTAAATTTTTAAATTGTCAGCCCGTTTATGTGAATAAAATTTATTTTATATTATCAATGTTTCATCAATTTAATAATTAATTTGCATTGAAGAATGACAATTCTGGATTTTGCTGTAACTATTAAAATTCAAGAGTTTAAACTTTTAATAAAAAAAAAAACTTTTATGCTCACTATAAAAATGTACAAAATATCAATATATCAATATCAATTTCAAATTTTGGATGAACAGAACAATGAACCATGATAATATGATGTAACCAACTCGTAAACAAAACAACCATGGTACAGTGCCATAACTATCACGTTTCATAGGTCACAGAAACTGCAACGATACATAACATAATTAACATACCCAAGTCATTTGAGACACCCGGAATGACTCTATGATCTACATCTACAGCTCCAGTTGCTAAAATATTGTCGTGATACTCTACAGGGTCACTGTAACCTTCTTTTTCAAACATTGGAGGGCTTTCAGGGGTATCTAATAAAAATAATTTTCAATTTCAAATAATAAAAAAAAAATTAAACGGATCGTTGCTGTTCAATGCTCATCACTAGGAAGTTCCAATTAAATAAAATGTAAAAAAAATCAACATACTGGTCATTGAAATTTGATTATAATTTTTTAAAACCTCAAAATAGTTGGCATTTATTCTATGTAAAAAAAGTATTGATATAAATATAAAAAAGTTTCTTTGTTTTCACTATATAACTTAAGAATGAGAAAAGACCCTGTAGATTTTTTCGACTACTGTAATGTTCACCAAAATAATGGACTTTATTATTTATATTTATGACAAACTAACACAGTTCTTTGGATATCATCGTTTTATCTTCTTATAAATAAGATTTAACAGTGGTAAGAGTACTTTCTTAAATATTTCAGAAATTGGGTTAATTTCGATTATTTACCAGAGATGTCGAGTTGTGCAGAAGTAGTTTAAAATACAAGTATTACAAAAATGGCGATTAATCTCATAAGATTAGGTACATTCCGACATAGTAATCAAGAACACAAATTTTAGCAAGGATAATGTCGCAAGGCAAAGCATTTATGTTTATATTAACTGATTATAAATGTTATGGACTGAATATTTAGTTCAATAGAAGACAAATGTCTTCAGTTTTGATTTTTTTTTACATTAGTATTAAATCGTTCTACCTTCTAAAATATTCAAAACCAACTGTATTTTATAAGGATGAAAATATACATATCCCTGAGATGAACATTAAACAACAATGAATTGGTCTATAGATACCATGTGGGTAATTCTCCACCAAGTGGTAGTCATGAAAAGAAGAAATGTAAATAACAATTAGATTTATCTTATTTGATTGTACCCTCTTTTCTAACTTCGAAAAAAAAATTATTACAAGGAATCATTGAATCATCCCTATAACTTACGTTATTAAGTTATGAGTTTATTTTATTTCTGAGGTTATTCCTATGCAAATAATGATACAATGTAAACCACATCCTTGCTTATTATGTTAATATTAAGTAAAATCTAAAATTATATTTTTTATTTTTTCAATTTTTATGTTCTTTTTATTATATTTATTTTATATATTTGTATATTTTTACTATATTGTAGCACTACTTTTGTTTAATTAATTTGTTTAGTAATTGAGACCTTCTCCTGTAAAACAATAATTAATGTTTTTTGAAGAAGAAACACAATTATATAAGGATTTTGTGCCCCATTTGCTCTTCTTATTCATCTGTTAAAAGTATGGATGTCAAGCTTTTTATATTCACAAGAAAATATTGAAGCAGCAAAACAATGTCCCATTAGTGGAGAATTTTCCATAAAAAAAAATATATAATAATAAATAGATAGTTTACTGTAACAAACCTGTATCCGGAGGAACAACAGGAGGCACACCATTCCAGCTAGCATCTGGCTCCCACGTCGTTACGTCATCTTCTGGATTATATTCTTCACTGGGAGGATATGGATTTGCACCCAGTGGTGGTTCAAAATCTTCTCCAAAGTTATCATTGCTTGGTGCATAATTTGCATTCGCTTCATATGACGATGTTGTATAAGAGTTACCTAATTAATAAAAAATGAATATGTTCACCATTTAATATCGATTCATTCTTAAGATAAATATAACAATATTCTCTCTGGAAAGCTGTAAAAAAAGATAAATCGCCCACAAGTTATAATCCACGTAAAGAAGACAGACAGTGGGCCAAAAGTAGCAGAGAAAAGGCAGCTGTTTGCTAATCATTTGGAAAACGTTTTTCAACCATTTCCACCCAATCTAACAACACACAATGACAAACATTATGATTCCTATACTTTCCTTATATATACACGTTAAAATAAAGATATATCTGCTCTGCATAACTCCAAAAAATAGATAAGGTAAACAAACTTCATTTTATATAAAATAAATTGCAGTTTTACATTATTTTACTGATAGGCTACTAATTTTATTTGAACTGATCTCTTTACTAGTAAACATCACTTACCTAAAGGAACAGTAGATTCCATATGTGTTGTATAGCTAGCCTCATAACTGCCAGAGTTTCCAAAGTCATCATCAGATTTGGAAAATGGCGGCATTGGGGGCGGCAACAGCGGTACATGACTAGAACCGTAGCCGTAGGAAGGTTGTGGTGAAGGGGCTTCTACAGGTAATGGAGGATTTTGAGTGGCTACTTTTGGAGGTGTATAGCTTTCTGCAGCAGATTCATTCGAGTTCGTAAAACTGCTGATATTGCTGAACAAGCTGCTGTTGAAAGTCTAGAAAGAAATAATAAGAAATTAGGAATTTCGATTATACAGAAAATAGAAATTTCAACATAGGCGATGTTTTATACCTCTAAATTAAATGTCTCTGAACCCATAAAACTAGAAAAACCATTGGCACTCAAAAATGTGTTGCCACCGTCCGTACTAGTGTCATTCACAATTGGGGTGTAGTAACCTGAATTATACTGAAGTTCAGCTTTTGGGTTGTAGTCTGCAGTTGGAACTAGAAATAACAAACATTATTATCAGATTAAAACAGTTTGCTATCATAAATGAATGAACTCAGAGAATATTCATTTAACACGTCGACTGCCGCGTTAATTTTCAGGATTTCGGTCTAAAAATACAATTTATCATATTATTTATTAAAAAGTCAAATTATAGTACATAGGAATCATCAAAAATCATATAATAAAAATACTAGTACTCTTTTTTTCTTGATTTATCAATTTTCTGTTGTTCTATTCATATTTGCATGAATATAGTAAGTAAATAAACTACAAGATAAGTGGTAGCCAAGAATTATTGAGTTATCTCTTATTTGGCAGACAACGTGTTAAATTTAAAATACAAACTTTACCCTCTTTAACAACGGCCAGTACATCGTTGTTAATCGGTTCCTCCGGTAAATCTATATCAGAATCTGGACTGGGCGAAGGAGCATTGATATCAGGAGATGGAACAGGACTGCTTAATGTTTGTTTGTGTTCTTCTAACTTTCGCTGAAACGTCTTTACCCGAGTACCAAACATTTTGTAGGCCTTAAAAAGTTGAAAATATTATCATGACATAATAAAAGTTATATTTTGTTATTGTTGTTTAAACAATTTATATTTATTTATAAAAAAAAGTCAAATTGATTCAGCTTAATTTTGGGTGTAAGCTTTAAAAATGTTCCATAATTAGCTATTAACCAAAACCATTTGTAATGTAAAATGTGTGGTTTTTCACTTCAGAATTGTACTTATTAAACTTACATTTGCAACAACTTTCACATCTTTTCGATCAGCTTCGAGTTGTGTTTCCGCCTGTTTTAGTACACTTATAACTGTAATTCTGTTTTTGATTTCTAATTTTAATGCATTTATGTAGTCTTCCATATGTTTAATATACACTTCTATTTCCTTTTCAACATCGTCCACATGAGCACGATCTTAAAAAGATTTCATTGATTAACAAAAATACCTTAGGTTTACAAATGAGTCCAAAGCAAAAATGATGAATATCATTAAGGGTTAATTCTCTCTAAATCGACTTTTAAGTTTTGAAACCAAAATACACTTAGAGCAGGACTGTTAAGGAAAATGAGTTAGCCATTTTGTGCAACATTTATTGGGAAATATATAAAAAAATGTCATATATTTGTTCTTCCTTATGCACGTTGCATACAGATCTTACCCAGTTTTTGCTTGTGACTTTCACCTTTTTTGTTGTGTACACAATTTTGTTATTTCTAAAATAACTTTGTGACTATGAATTTGATTGCTATATAGACCAGTTCAGCATATAATACTGACTCTCATCGTTTTTGCTGTGTGCTCTTGATGTTTGTCTTTAAATGAATTAACAATATAATTTTGTATTTATTGAATATTAGGAAATGAACTTGTGTTAAACATTTTATTTTTATGGTTATAATCCAAAAATGTATAGGGTGTGTCAATGAACATTTTTAAGTAGATCCTATGTGCCTGAAAAATACTTAACTAACTTCAAACTATTGTTCATAATTTTAATAATATGTATAAATATATTGATATTAAAACAAAAAACTTTTTTATTTTTTTCTTTTCGCAACTGGTGACATAATGAATTTTTCATAACCAGTTTCATAATGTTCAACTTTGTGCAACTCGGTTGCATAAAGTAATCATTTTGACACTTGCTGCTATTACAAATAAAAATGTCACTTTATATGTCAAAATAGGACTTTCTTATATTTTTCCATTTTTGATACGTTTCATAATCTTCTGCTGGTTATAGGAATTAGATCAGACTAATGTTTAGCCATCTAATATGTGATGTGAGTGATGATGTGTAGCCACAGATCATGGTCATAACAATTGAAGTGACAGGAGAAAATGTGGCATCCTTACCCACTTATCTATTTATTTCACCTTATAAGAAAATTGTACAAAAAATCATACAACGTTTATAGTGAAACATGTCATGGTAATTATAAAAATACATAAAATTATATACCTAAAAAAAATTAGAAAAAAAAACATACCTAACAATTTATTTAATAAGTTTTTTTACATTAGACTTAAAAGTGAAGAGATTACTGTTGTTCTTCATGCTCTCTGGAAGGAAATTATAAAATTTACAACCCATATATGTCTAGGTATTAGTAATTGGCTTTTGTTTCTTGTGTTATACTCATGAGAAGCACGCTCGGCAACATATATTGATCTGTTCTTATGAATGAAAATACATGCTTCTAATATATACCCCAGCCAGTGTCAGAATTTTAAATTTTTTAAAAATTCTACATGAACCTCTTTTTCTCAGTTTCGCAATAATTCTAATGGCATATTTTTGAACAACAAAAACTCTTTGCTTGGTAGAACAGGTACCCCAATTAAGTATGCCATATTTCAAATGAGAGTGAAAATTTGCAAGATACACTGTTAAGAGTGTACTTTTACTACAATGATTGACAAGAAATCTAAGACTAAAGAACTTTTTCGTAATTTATTACACAGGTTATCAATATGTGAATTCCAGGTTATGCCATAATCAATAGTGATTCCTAATATTTTAATATTTTCTTCAGATATAATTGATTAGTATTTTCAAATAATTGGTTTTCTATAAATTGTCCATTATTATTAAAAAACATTATATTAGTTTTAGTTTTATTTTATGTTATTTTTTTCCGACCACGATAAAAATTGATTATATGTTCTCTCTGTTGCTATTTTTAGTGCATCTGCATTATTTGCAATAATTAAAATATCTGTGTCATCAGCATAAGTTGGGTATATTCCAGAAATAGCATTCAAGTGATTAGGTCGTTGGCAAAAACTAAAAATAAAAATGGACCCAAAATCGACCTTTGGGGAACCCCTTGTGAAACTTCCAGCTCCAAACTAGGAACATTATTCACTTGAACAATTTGTCTTCCATTCGATAAATATGATTCCAATAAGTCAAGTGGATACCTCTTACCCCATATTTAGACAGCTTAAGCAGTAGAAATTTATGGTCCACACAGTCAAAAGCTCTAGAAAAATCAATAAATAAACCCATTACATGCTTCTTACTATCAAGAGATATTATGATTTTAGTATGGAACTCTATCAATGCAGTCTCTGTACTCTTTTTTGAACTATAACCATGTTGTGAGCTTAAACTTAGTGAAAAAATTACACAATTGATTTTTGATATTCAACTCATATATTTGGAAAAAGTTGACAAGATACTTATTGGTCTATAGTTATTAATATCATCATTCGGATCTTTCTTTTTGTAAATGGGAACTACTTTAGGTAGTTTTAAAGAATCTGAAAAAATACCTTTCTCAGTTGATAAATTCAACAAAAAACTCAATGGTTTAGTCCAGCGTTACTCAAAGTGTGGTCCGCGGAGCCACAGGGTTCCGCAAAGCCTTTGTGGGGGCGTCGCAAAGAAAATAATAGTCATAATAAAAAAAGCAGTACTATCGCTACAAAAGGGAGGGACTTGGCTTGAGGACCTTTTTTAAACCCTTTCTTTAACCTTTTTTTAACCTCTTTTAACCTTTTTTTAAACCTTTTTTAACCTATTATTTACCTTTTTTAAACTTTTTTACCCTTTTTAACAGTTTCTTTTACTTTTTTACCAAGAGGAGGAAGGAGGATATGATATTGATTTTTTTGTGAGGGCTCCGCGAACAAGGGGGAGGGACCTGGGTCGAGGCCTGTTTTTTTAGAGTCACTAAGAGGAAGGACGATATGGATTTTTTTTAGAAATGTGTTTAGGGCTCCGTCAAATATTTCGCTTTTTAAAAAGGTTCCGTCACCAAAAAAGTTTGAGAACCACTGGTTTAGTCAATAGAGCAACACAATTTTTAATTAACTTATTATTTAAGCCATCAGTGCCAACTGAAATAGTGTTTTTTAGAGACTGTATTAATTTTAAAACATCCTCATCTGAAACAGGAGACATATAAAATGTTTTATTATTAGATGTAATATTTTTGTTTAAAAATTCTATGTCACAAACTAAGCTATCTATTATATTTATTTGCCAAGTCAGAATCACTTATCTGGTTACCCTAATCATGTAATATAAGTTGGTTATTTGATTTGTTGTTCCCGTTCTGCAATTTCCCAATCACTTCCCAGATAGCTTTAGTCTTCTTTTCAGAGCTTAAAATGACATTATCATAGTATTGCTTAGAGGCCTGTTCTAACCTAAGCTTATAAGTATTATTTAACATTTTACCTCGCATTTTACTAATTTCAACATATCCTCGATCGCGCTTAGCAAGAGTATTATATAATGACACATTATTTTTTAATTCCAATAAATCTGCATTCCACCTATACTTAGTTGTTATTAGGCTTTTTATTATTAGTTTTGGGTCTTCATGTAACTAACTTTTTTGGAAAGGCAGTTTCAAAATAGGATAAAACAATTTCCGCAAATTGATCATAAGCTAAATTGGGACAGGTATGATCCAAAACACTAGTCCAATCTTCGGCCCCTAATAGAATATGAAAATGTTCTATGTTATTTTCAGAATATGAACATGACACATATTTAACGGCTGGTTTTTTGTTTTTTTGAGATAAATTCCTAGTGTGGACATCAATAAATTGAGAACAGTGATCAGATAGACAAAGGTCTACCACTTTTACACTGTACTGATTAGATGTTCTAACAAATATATTATCAATTCAAGTTGCAGAATCTTTTGTAACTCTAGTTGGAGTTCTTACACATATTTCAAGATTAAAACTATACAATAAATCTTCTAATAAAGAAAGTTGAGTACTGGGTTTCATAAAATTTACATTAAAATCTCCTCCAATAATTATATCTAAAAATACAGATTAAAATTTCATTTAAAACTAACATAAAATCACTAAAATTTCCTCCAGAGGGTCTATAAATCACTAAGCAAATCGTCTTATATAAAGGTAATTGTATACCACATTCTAAAATGTTTTCTTTAGAAACATTTTTGTTACCATACTCACTCACTGTTCCAGAGAAATTGTCATTTTTTTATATATGGCTATTTCACCTGTCTTAGTTACAGACCTACACATATCCGCAACTAATGTAAACTGGTTTAGTTTATATGCTTGAATGGCATTTCTTACTTGCCAATGTTTAGAGATCATTAAAAAATCACAAAAAAAATTATTAGCAAATATGTCATTTAACATTAAAAGCTTATTACTAATACATTGAATATTTTGATGCACAAAAGTTAAATAGTTAATGGGATTTATAGTTTTATTTGTTATTCTATTATTATTATGTTTCCTTGATCTGATCCAAAAAAATTAGTAACTGAATTTTCTGAAGTTTGTATAAAAATTAGATTTTTCTGGAAATGTTTGAATTTAGGTTTTATTAATATCAGGATGTTTAAATAATATTTTGAACAATTTTAAATTTAAGTATTAAAAATTTTCTAGATTTTTTTATCTGACAGCCAATGTTACTTTTTTAGGATATTAGGCTATTTATCATAACCAGAAAAAATAGATCTTAAAAATAACAGTCAACATTTTTTTATTTGTACAAATAGAATAATAAAACCTATTTCAGTTAGTTTGAGATTTGAAAATGGATTAATAAAATATAAATATTTGTATATATAAAAATTTACCTTTTAATGACATTATAAGCCCATCGTCCAATTGTATCTTTGGATTATGCTCTTTGAGAAGTTTTAATTTAATGTCTGTATCTGTTTCAAGTTTCGTACATGTTTTAATTTTGTTTATCACATAATTTGGCTAAAAAATAGGTTGCTATAGAGTAATGAATTATATTTGTTTTCAATATCCTACCTGAAACTCATGCGGTTCATCATTTTTGGGAGCACTAGGTAAAACACTTAAAAGTCCACACAAATCTGATATAAATTCTTCATTATATACACCTCTTTGTTCCCAAATTTTGAATATTCTAAATATTTTGTGTTTAACTTTTTCATCCCTAAAAAAATAATACACTTATTATTAACATGTTAATGGTGTAAAATAAATACAAATGCATTTAAGAATTTCACATCACACAATCTTCACTTTTTGTGTGAACAATTTTAATAAAATAATTAAGAAAATAATATTGTGGCCTTTGGGCAAAGTTTATATTTAGAAAATATTTTTCTTTGAAAAAATAATTATAAAGATATATCCAAACCACATAGATAGGTAAACAAACTCAAAAAAGTATAAAACAACTATTATTTCCAGTTAAAATGTAGAAAGGTTTTTTAACTTATTAAACAAGAAGTTAAATATTATTACAAAAAAGTATTGATGATGATACTTTGCCTCTATTGGCTTAGTTTACTTTAATGGCTATATTTTAATTTTTTTTTTAATAACAATGTGACAGCTTTTATTGTTCATATTTTCTAATATGAAATAATGCAACTTTTAGAAAAAGGTAAATATCCAGGTAAATATCTATAGTTCATGCATTTCAAAATTTTGATAATTTTATAGCAAATGAATGGTTACACATTATGGGCACAATAAATATTGGTAAATATACAAACTAGAGGGGTAGGTAATTATGACAACACAGTGAATTTATTACAAACAAAACTTACAATTCAAGAAAATTAAGTAAATTAGATTCACAAGTAACTTAGCAACCATAATATACTAAATTAGAATAGTCTGTACTATTCCTTATAGGAAAGAATCTCAATAGGAGCAGATAATTTAAAACAGTAAATGTGATGTAGAAAATTGCCGATATTACAAGAATTAAGTTTATGAATGCTTTCTGAACATGCTTATAAACATTTCTTTTATCAACTGAGAAATGACACAAACTAGATATTCGCTTCTTTTAGAAAACTGAGTTGAAATTAGATGATTTTGATATCCTTACCTAACCATTGTAGTAGCTTTCTGTAAGGCAGTACCCCAACTTTCAACAAAATCAAAATTTCTTCTTTTCGAATACTGAACAACATCATTGGCTAAGTAAAATAGAACAAGCCTCTGTTCTACTTTGACTCGTTTTAAAATATTAAGCCAAGAATTGACGATTTTCTTATGATGAACTCTATTTTGTAAACACCACTGACAACAATTGTTAATTGCTTCTTGGGAATCTTTTAAATTGAGAAGTTGTTTTTCAAATTGTAAAACGTTAAAGTCTCCATTGGACTCTTTTTTAGTCCCCATGAGGAACAAATGTTATTTCTATTAGAAATACCTAACTATGCCACTTTTAGTTCATATTTTTACATTATAATGTTTAGTTAATATTTGCGTCACTTCTTCTATTGCAATTATTAACATTTCTTCTGAAATCACACGTTACAACAACTGTTTTGTATGGACGCCGATTATACCAATAGAAAAATGCCACTGGACTGCTGAAATTGAAAACCTTTGTCAATAAAGGAAAAAGACTATTAGGTAAGTCTTCCTTTACTTCTTTAAAAGCTGTAAACGGTTCGTATTACTTTCTTTTTGATAATATTAATGTTTAATAAAATTATTCTTGTCAAAATAATAAAATAATCAAACTGGAGCCATTGAAAAGCATTTTTTCGCGAACAAATTCTCACTCTCGCCGGTTGGCGTGTCAGCGAAAAGTTGGTGAACCTGGCATGTCAAACGTCATATCAAATTCGCACAAACTTCATCAAAGAAACTCCCGCGGGTTTTGAATTATAAAATGGGTTATTCCCCGGCTTAGTTTTTAACATTTATTAATCTGCAATTCAACACTGTTGAACACGTTTAATCTTTGAAGGAATGCTGCCCTAGAAAATGGTCATTATAAGTACTCCCGAGTAATATGGAAAATAACCTGCCTGCGCCACCGACTTTGATATTAAACTGGATGAATAGGCTATATGACATAAACCCTACTCCTAATTTCTGAGCCGACATAGGTGAAAAAACGGTCGGTACGAATGACAATTTGGACGCCAAACTGTCAATTTCGAGCATCTACACGTGTGTCTTTTTATCCAACTGTTGCAGCAACGTTGGCATCGGTGCGGTATGTCAACTGTTATTTATTTCAACGGTCAACCAGAATCCAACACAAAACGTTCAAGGCCGCATCGGTGAAACAACGGTTGCAACAAACCGGTGGAAAAAAAGACACACGTTACGTCACGTTTCCCACGGGCGTACTACGACAAATTATATTATTTTTTGTTAATAACACGCTATTTTAATAATTATTATTTTTGGAACATTTGTTTCAACTGCGTATTGATCAAAAATCATTGTGATTTTCTTAAATTAAAAGGTGTCATAGTTGAATGTAATAAGTGTTAAATTTAATTTTGATGATCCTTTTTAGTGAATTTCGATACGCACATGTGGGCGCCATATATATAGTTCAGTGGTCTGCGCCCATAGAGCATAGATCTGGAGTAGGGGCATATACTTTGATTACTATACGGCATGGAGGTAGAAGGTACTATACGGTCACATACTTTGATTTTCTCTTACTATACGGAGAATGGTCGCACTGCGCAGCTTTCTGAGTGCCTTTTAAAAGGAGATAGAAAACTCCGCCATTTTGATGCCTTATTACGTGTTGCCTACATCTTGACGCAATATTTTTAATATTTTGCTTGCTGCTGTCAGTATCACCGAATATTATTTTTATTGCTAAAGAATCAGTTAGCTCACTCGAACCAGTTGAAAGTTCCAAAAAAACATCCATTCCAGGGATACAAATTCAGGATGCGCAGAAGACTGCTGTTTTATTATAGGCGGTTGTCATATATTGTAGTATCCGAGTTGCGCAGTGTATATATAAACTGGAACATTGAGATCAAAAGTGCCGACGCAGAGTGAGCGAACTGATTCTTTATCTATAAACTGTGGTAAAGGCATCACAATGGCCGCGCCCTATGTTGGGCGTGTCGGACCTCTCTTGCACCGTATAGTAGTCAAAGTATGTGTGTTGGTAGAACACAGGCGTAACCAATGATGGGCATAATATAACTAGTATTGTATGTTGGTTGTATCAATATCAACAGGTTGTGTTTCATAAACAACGGATTTAAGGTATCCCCAAAAAAAGTCTAAAGGAGTTAAATCAGGTGATATGGGGAGCCGTTCAATTGCTCTCTTCTGCTAATCTAAGGGTCTGAAAATCTCTGTCGGACAAGAAGAAAAAATGAGATCTAGCAGCGTCCTGCTGGAAATGTAACAGATCCTCCTGTAAAATTACCTTCTGCATCAGTTTGCGTTTCTAGTTCGTGAGTTTATAAGAGGATGATCAATAGTCTATTCAAGCATATTAAGGTACAGATCGCCTATCAAGTTTCCTTCAATAAATAAAGAACCAATAATTGGCGTATGCCCTTCTTGAATAATATGCGAGTGTTCGTCACTCCCGACATTTTTGTTTACCATTGTCATTTAAGAAAAAATGAATAATCATCGCTGAAACAGATATTCAGCAGAAGATTAGGGTTGGCGTTGATTTGATCAGACATGGTTTCACAAAACTATTCTTCTATCAAAATCACCTTCGTAGAGCTCTTGAAGTATCTGTATTTTAAAGAGATGAAATTTATGTAATTTCAGTGCTCTTCCCAGACAGCACAAAAATATTGCATGAATATTCAATGCATATCCTCCACTGCATACTCCTGTATTCCATATGGATATGCCATATCTGCCATGGCATATGACAGGAAGATTGCAGGAATTTTCAAGGTTACCATGAAACATATGCCCACGATATGTTTTTATCTGCCAAACTATATGTATGGCATATTCTCTGGATTTACTGAGGATATCTATGTATGCCTATATTCATGGTATTTTGAATATTCATGGCATACCTATTCAATTTTTTTTTTGTAATGTAGTACCATATATAGTTTAAAAATAAAACCCATACTTAAATACAAAATAAATTTATTTGAAAAATAAAGCAAATTTTCAAAAAATAAAAACAATACATACATAGAAAAAACTGTAAATTTAAATTTATTTGCTGAGGTTCTTCACGTATGTATATGTATTATGAGATATTTATAAATTATTTTTGCCATTTTTCATATTATTTACTGGAAGGAATTCAGGGTGCTTTCGGTGCATCACCCTGTATCTGTGCTTCTGTTAAATGGGATCCGTGATGATACTTGTTATCATGGTTGCCAGATTAGGGGTTTTTCCCGAAAATTAGGATTTTTTTGTTGTATTTTTTTTGGGGATATTTCTGGCAATTTATTTTGGCAAAAAACTATTTACCTAGGGGAATAACAATGGATTTTAGGTTTTTCACTACTGGACTCAAATTTAACCTCGTAAATCTCAAAATCAAATACAAATACAAAAATCCAATTCTTCTTAAAATAAATTGCAGAAAAATATTAATTTTACTAATATTGTGTGATAATTGGCAAAAAAATGAATCTGTTTTGGACATTTAGGCTGACATTGATAATTAACTTTTACTTTTTTCTTAATTATTCTTAATTTATATACTTTTATATATTTATCTTTTTTCAATGATTACTGTTTTCTTTAGTCTTCAATTATAAGAAAATATTATATTATATTATGTTTTAATGTCTTTATAAACTGTTATAACTGATAAGTTATTTTTTTCATTTAAAAAAAAATCCTTGACAGTCATTTTTATTTTGCAAATATTTTCTTGTTTTTGGGGATTTGTTTGTAAAACAGCTTATTTTGGGATATTTTAGAGATATGCGGATTCATTTTAGTAACGAATATTTATTAAAATCCAGTAATTACAAATCATAATCTACAAGAACAAAAAAAAAATATTTTTTGGGTGATTTTGTCGAAAATTTTGACTGGGGAAATCCTCCGAGCAGGAGGGGAAATCGAACTTGACGATCTGGCAACCCTGTTTCCTGTCTGTGCTCGCGATTACGCGATTGTTGATGTGTCAGATCGTCAATCGTCAGATGTGTTCTGTGTCGTGGTCATTGTTTATTGTTTTACTTGTGGCTAAAAGGTTAGGTTAATTTAATAGACAATATAAAATTAATGACTTATGTTATTAAAATGATAATGCTTTTGCTAAATCGGAAATAGTTTATTGTATGAATTATAACCTCGAGGTTGGGCATATTCAAACATAATGAATAATTAAATTTTAAAATTCCGACTGAAATGTTTAAGTAATACCTCTACTTGCAGTCGGTGTACGACAATATACAACAATGTATTATTTTCAAGAGTCTCTTTCGTATATCAAAGATTCTGTGGGTAAGTACTTTTATTTTTTTTAATTGCAATAAGATTTAAAAAATTATATCTATAAGTACCTAGTAGTAGATACCTGACAATTTAGAAGGGTACTAGGTTTTTAGAGCATTTGTTATAAATATTTTATTTTTTTACTTCTCAGTAGTAAATAGTAACATAGGCGCCGAATTTTGGTTAACTCCGGGGGCTAAAATAAAAGCCCTTGCCTTTGATGTGTTCCTGTTTCTCTATTTTCCCACTGATCAACTATGAGAAAAATATGTATTTGTTGGTGCCCGGCCCCCCACAGGATTATTTCTGAGTGGGCACTGAGCCCGGGCCTCCAAGTAGTCAGTGCCTATGAATACCAATAGTAATTAATAATAATTATTTTTGGTTCATTCGCCAAAAGTCAAACTTTATTTAAATATTATAATAAAAATGGTAATTTTTGTTTTGTATGTAAATAAAAGGTTTTGTTTCCTTATACTTGAATCTAGTCAAGTCACATTAATTAAAATTATACTTACAAAACAAAAAGATATCACACAAAATATATATCCACTGTTTTGTAGGTGTCTGGTTTGCTCTTAAAGTTGATTTTTATCAATATTATTTTATAGTAAATTTATTTTGTATTAGGTTCTTAAACTTGTGTGCCTCACACAGCCATTTAATCATAAAATATTTTTTTGGATGGGTTTCAAAGACTAGAAATTATTAAAATTATTAAAAAAATAGTGGCAACCCTATTTAAAATTTGTTTATTTACTTTACATAAGAATATTTGTCCATTTATTTCCAATATCTAAGAACACAATTTTTTTAACAATTCAGTACTTTTTTATTTAAATAAATATATATTTAACCTTGCTGTTTTTAAATATAGTTATTTTAGTAATTAATATAAAACAATTTTATTACTTTAAATTAATAAGCTCTTAGAAGAATGTTTATTTGTCTCGGTACATAAAAATGCATTATTTTATTTTATTGAACATTAAAACTGGCATAAAAACATTTTATTTATTACGTCAATAATTGTTTAAACCTTTTTTATTGATATTTATATTGCCAGTATACTGTACTGTTTAGTGTAGGTACTGATAAACAGATTATTACTAAACATTGCTAGGAGTTATTCAACTAAACTTTTTTTGTTAGCATTATGTCTTTTATTTATCATATATACTACAATGGGTGGTATAGGGACTATTGATTATCACATAAGCTAATGCAACAAACCTGTTGTCAAAAATTAATATAAAAATCATTTTACTGGCAGTGGCCTGGCTTAGCAGGGTTCACTATTGTGTGTTAATATCTGCAGTCAAGCCAGGCTGAGTGCAGTTAGTAATTGGATGGAGGACTATCTCAATGAAAGTCAGTATACATCCATTAGTTTATTACCAATAATTTCTGAAAATTTGGAAAAACTATGTAGCAAATCAAGAAACTTAATGGTGATTTGGAAAGCAAGACTTAAAGCTTTCGACAGGATAGACTCTGCTGCATAAACTGAAAAAAAACATCTTAAAAAATCCTATATTAGCATTCAAGGCATTTTAGGCAAAATCACAGATTACTCCAAATGTAAAACCTGGCAATAGGATTTTGATGTGAGCATTCTGTAACCTTGAAACTTTAATAGGATATGATATGACCAGTTTTGTCTATTTCAAATATTTTCAATTATTCTTGCTAAACATATATTTTGGTTGCAAGGATTGGTTTAAATAGTTAATAGTTTGATGTACAAGCACTTTGTATGTTAGAAGAGTTGTTGAAAAGTTTTAAATTAAAATATCAATACTTTCAACTTTTAACCTATGACAAGATTTCCACAAGGCAGTGACCTGAGGCCAGTGTTAATATTTAATTAATATTTACCAATACCAATACTTTTTTTTAAAGATAAATACCACTTTATATACTTTCTGCACAAATAGCTATTTAAAAAACCACATTACTTAAACTTTGCTTTAAGTAAGTCATGGGGTGTGGCTATATGGATATCTCCTTATGTGACTTTTTTCTTTCTTGAGGCTAAATGAGCACTGAAATGAACCAGATTTGAGACAGGGTAGAACTGTCAAAGAAAAAGCTGTGAAAACCAATGCACGTCATCGATGACGTAATAAATTTTAGACAGTCACAGCTTCACACTGTTACCAAATTTTGAAAATAATTGGGGAATCTTTGAAATTGTAGCTACAGAAAAAAAAGCAGCTGTAAATCGTTGTGATGTTAGCCAATAATAAATTCCAGTCAGTAGTATGTTCTATGTATAGAAATAGAAATATTTTATTTTCAGTAATACATATATAAACATGTTTACATAGTCATCAGTACACCTAAATGGTAAAATACACCACATTTTACATACATTAACATACAGCATATACAATTTAAAAAACTTAAAATAGGATTTTAAAAGATCATGGTTGGTAATAGTAATAAAAAAATATATAAAAAAAAACAATATTAAAAATATTAGGTGACATGTTTCACTCTTAGAAAATAATCATTAGTGTTATAGAGACACATGTCCAGTAATATCTTTTTAATTAGATGTTTAAACTTTTTTCCTGGTAGATTACGGATGTGGGGCGGAAGTGCATTATAGAATGAAATGCCTAATGTTCGGGACTTGTTTATTCTAGTTCTCGTTTGGATTAGCTGATTTTTCCCTCTGGTATCGTATGTATAATTGTCTGAGTGACATGTGAAGTTTCCCAAATTATTCTTTATGGCTAGCAAGTTTTCAAATACTATTTTCGAAAACAGGGTCATTATGCTAAGTTGCTTAAATAGTGGTCGGCATGGTTCATAATAAAATAGAGCGTACTGCTGATTTTTGCAAGGTAAAAAGTATTTGTAGTGAAATGAAGCTAGCATTTCCCTAAGTAAGAATCTCATATGTTAAATTGGAATGGAATAAGCCATAATAAGTAGTTATTGCTGTTTCTGTATTAATTATATTTGATATTATATGTAGAGCAAACGTGAATTTTGCCAACTTGTTGCATAAGTTATTTATTTGATAGTCCCATGTAAGTTGTTTGTCAAAATATATACCTAGAAATTTAGTGTTCATTGCTTCACTAGTAGTTTGGTTCAACCTGAAGACACATGTTTCAGTTTTATTGTGATTTAAAAATAATTCGTTGCTATCAAACCATTGTTTAGCTTCAGTCATAATCTTAGAGTTTTTCATAACTATGTCAGATGTGTTATTGCAGTGATATGAGAAATTGGTATCATCTGCATACATGGTAGTAATTCGGCATTATTTGAATTCATATATGATGGAAGATCATTGGTATATACTAAAAATAATAGAGGGCCTAGTACGGATCCTTGTGGAACACCTCTTTTCATTAATAGAGGTATACTAAGGTTATTTCTGTAATATACACTTTGTTGTCTGTTTTGCAAATAAGAAGCAATTATCTTATTTGCAATTCCTCTAATGCCATATTTATCTAGTTTATTGATTAACAATGTGCGACTTACACAATCAAATGCTTTAGACAGATCAGTGAATATAGCTACGCATTGTGATTTGTTTTCTAAAAACTCCTGAATGTTATTCATTGAAGCCAGCATGGCATCTGTAGTTGTTCTCCCATGTCTAAACACAGTGTCTAGGTACACGTTAACTTGTACGCAATTCAAAAAGTTATATACACGCGAAACGTCTTGACAGAGTAGGTGAGCTGTGTGTAGGCCGTTGGTGTTTAATGCCGGTCGGCGTAGCTAGGTATGGATTGAAATTTTTTGGTAGTGGCGAAGCCGCCACCCTACGAGAAGTGGTTGCTTCCTCTTCTTGTTGTCACGGCATTATTATTATTATTATTTGTTCATGTATGTGAAATTTGCTTCTAAGGTTTATAAAATACTACTGCTAGTCACGGCGTAATTGAAAACAAACAAGACGTATTCACACAAACACCTCCCACCACAGCAATATGACGTTTCGCGTGTATATAATTTTTTGAATTGTGTACACAATAGGTCTTTTCCTTTGCATCGAAAGTGTAGCATTGAGCTACACCACTTCTGAAAATATTGTTCCATTTATACAAATTGTATGGATGGAACAATATTTTCAGAAGTGACGTAGCTCAGTGCTACACTGTCGATGCAAAGGAAAAGACCTTTTAGCGTGTACCTAGCAACAGCGATGTCTAAAACCATATTGTTCCGCGGAAAACAGGTTGTTGTTTTCAAAGAAATGCACAATTTGTTTTACTATAACACTTTCAAGTATTTTAGAAAAACATGGCAAAATATGTATTTGGCGAAAATTTTCAGGTACTGAGTCATCTCTTTTTTTGTGGCATGGTAGAACTTTGGACGTTTTAAAAATATCTGGAAAGGTACCTTCAGCTAAACGACAGTTTATCAATTCAGTAATAGGAACAACAATATTTTGGGCGCAGTTTTTTAATAAATAGGTATTAATTTCATATATATCTTGAGTTCTTTTTGATTTAATGTTTTGTAGGATATCTATGGTGTTATTATTATTGAGGATGCCTTCTACTATATCAGATGAATGATTTACAAAATATTTATTGAAGGTTTCTATATCGATTTCAGATTCTACTTTATTTTTATTATTACGTCCTTTTTCATTATTTATTATTTGCCATACAGTTTTAGATTTATTGTCTGAATTATTAATTTGTTGAAGTTATTTTGTTTTGCATTTTTTAGCAATACGTTGTATTTAGTTTTCTCTTGTTTATATAATTTTTTATTGTAGTCGGTTGGTTTATTTTTAAGAACGTCCTGTAAAAATGATATTAGTTCTTTTTGTCTTTTTATTTAATCTGTATTCATATAACTCAAGTTTAACACGTGTCCAAAAATGCTCGAATTGAATTAATTGTCACAATTTGTGTCCAAGTGTTGTATACAAATGTTGATTTTCTACAAAGTTAATATAAAACAGATATCCACTGTTAAAAATAGAGCTTCTTTGCATTCTGCAAATTACAATGATACTGGTACAA